CCGTTACTGCTCATTGACACTTCATACATACGGAACAATCGCAAAGTTAGAACAACCGACGGCGACAGTTGTTTGGCTCGAACGTTCGTTTCTACAGGTGGTTCGTTGGTATTCCCAGATGTCAATGACACTTGCATTTATCTATTACGAAATTCTTGGCAAGGAAGCGTACTAATCGGAATTCAAAGGAATGTTCTTGTGACTGCGTATTCATGGCAAAAACACATTCATACGTAATACACTACGGGAAAGGGGCAAAAAGTACTTACGAATAACAAGTATTAGGTTGTTGCATAAGATATGTCGTCTTCTTCAACTACTGAATACGTCAATTAAAATGATTATGCAAGTATTAATTATGAGGATTTTAAACAAAAAAATTTATCAAATTCGAGAAAGCATCATTTAACAAAATCGAATAATTACCTATTTCATATAAATATTCTGATTTATTCACCCTGTACATCGTCAGTACATCATTTATATAAAATATCATCCCATAATATATGAAATAACATAATAATTTCTTTTACTAAACGATTAAGCAATTTTATTATGCCAGAGATAAACTATAATAAACGATTTAAAATGAAAAATTTAAAAGAAAGCCATATTGCTTTGAAAAATAATTGAAACGTAGAAGAATCTTGAGATCTGTACAGAACAAGTTTCCCAGAACAATTTAAGCTAAAAAAGGATTACATGGACGATGTGAAGTCGCATTATCGTTATATCGTAACAAAATAAACGGTGCATCGAGTCGGCTGACGTCGAGAACAAACGGTACGTTCATTCGAATCGCAAATTAAATTCGATTCGGGAACTGAACGTCAAACAAACGTCAACATCTCCTTTTTGTTCGTAAATGAATTGTGAAACGCAGTCGAATCGGTAGAATCCAACACTACAAAAATACACTTGTATAATATTTTTCTTACAATTTTTAATATAAAATTTATTTTATGTATTTATAAAAAATCGCACGTGCAATGTGTGAAGAAATTTAAAACAATAAAAGGTTCTTTTAGAAATTATATTTTTCAGTGCTAATATTTCAAATTCATAAATATTGACATTGGTACTATAGAAATGTATAACATAATGCAGCGGTTTCCAACCTTTAGGCAACTACGCCTAGCTGAAAAAATTTTTATTCCACGACCTACGCCTACGATATAAAGTTCATTTATTTGTAGATATTATGGTATAAACATCAGTTTTTTATTAAATAGTTTTGGCGGCTCCCCTGGCAATAGTCCGCGCCTCCCCTGAGAGCCGCGCCTCCCAGGTTGGAAACTGCGGACATAATGCGAAAAATTGTCAAAACATGAAATGCATAATGTAGACTTCATTTCTCAAATTTTCATAGCCAAAGTTTTTTATTTTATCTGAAATTCCTCAATTTAATTATCAAACAAAATTGGAACCAATGTAAGCACTTAAAACTCAAGTTATCGTAGTCGTTAGTGCAGTTTCACGTTTTTAAATGATCGGTAATTGTGTAGTGTGCTTTCGCACATTTAGCACATGGAAAAGGGGTGAAAATGGTCGACGCGTCAACCTAAACTTGTGTGTTTCCATGGTAACACAACCTACATTGGTTGATCTTGGCAAGCAAGAGAACGATATCGAAGGAAAACAGAGGGTTACGATGAAACAAAATTGTTCGTGAAGAAAAGGAAAGAGATAGAGAGGAAAGAAAAGTTCTCATTCGCGACAGAAAAAATGTACATATTATGAACTCTTCAAAGGCATTGAGTACATCAAAGGACGCACAGAATGAAAATAATTATCTCGAGTTTCCTTCATCATCTAAAAGTGTTGAAAGTAAAAAGTTTCGATATGGAACAATATTTTGTAGAAAGAACAATTTAACATTCTAACATTAAAATAATAACACTAATTCCCACAATTCGCTCCAGTATATCTTTTTATCTTAAAAATAAAGAAAGTAACAAAAATACAGTGAAACATTTTGTCATTATGGAACATTCTATAAAAAAATAAAGACATTACTGTTGAAAGTGGTTACAAGTACTATGAAAAAGAAGTTTGATTCTTTTTGATAGATAATGCAACATAAGTTATTAGATATTTTGCATTTAAAACAAAATTCTAGTAGAATGATGAATATCACCCCAGATAATATTTAAAGATTAAACGAGATTGGAAAATAATTGGGAAAAGAGAGAGGAAATTCTGGTTGGTAAAAAGCGAAAAATGAAAATGTCTTCGTGTGTAGAGAGTAACACATATATGTAAGTAGTAAAAAGACGTCTCAAAAGTATTACGAGAGTACAAGAGAAAAAAGAAAAATCCAATACGAGTAAGTTTGAAAATACGCGTAAAGATCGCACGAAAAACAACGCGAAGGTTCGAAGGATTAAAAGTGGTAGAAAAGTACGTAAAACTTTTATCAGACTTTCGCTACCCCACTCTTCGTTAAACTCTTTGATCTCTTGGCTCCAGCTATTTTAGTTACCGAGCTTCCAATTAATCGCGACTCATTTGATTAAACGTAAATGTAAAAACTGCAAAAAATGTAAGATTCAACGTAATGAACGTTCGTACGAAGAGTTGAATTGTATACATTCATTTTATATACACATTCTTGACATGAACTGATCACAGCAATATATGTATTTATAATGCAATACTTAATAAACTTAGGAAAATGAAATTGTTTTATCATTTAAGAATGTGCAGAAATAAAATATATGATATTCTACAGAAACTAGAACCTGCTATGTTTGAAAAGGATGAATAACATTTCATATGCATTGACCTAGTACATACATACGTGTATTCATAATTTAACAAAGAAGCAAAATAATTTAATTTAGTAAGAACAGACATACGTTACACATGTGTAATATTGTGTGCACATGTACTGTGAAGGCACTCATCAACTTCGTTTCCCATGAATTTCGTTTTATCGTACAATGCTCGTAAAATGGCTAAAATTAGCCAAGCTTTTCGTTCCTTTCATATATCCATTCTCGATTTCCCAGTGACGTGCTACTTCCGTGGTAACAATTATGGGATAAACGTAATACCATCGTAGGGAAAAAATAAGAGAGCAGTTAACAAAAGTTGGAACAACAATATATAAATTTGTATGTTGACAACTTGCTGGACCACATCAGAGTTTGTCTTATGAATCATGGCAAAAACCTAAGATTATCCGTAAATTTCATTCCAGAGAATCGTTCTTCGATCTGGCGTAAATCGAAGCTAAAAGAAACCAAATGAATCTGCGCTAATTACGTCGACAAGCCATTCGTTAATTACAGTCTACTAAATGCATTATTCTATATTTTTCTATTTTCAAATAGTCCTACAAATGACAGACTGCTTATTAGGACAACGTTTGATGGTCATTGAACGTCTCGTTTCCGGCGACTCGACAGAATAAAACACCAATACGGCCATTTACAAACACGAAGTTTTTGAAACAAAGCCAACACGTGTACACGCGCGCGCGTGTGTCAGATCGGAAAAGCAATCCCAGGAAGTTTCAAAAAGCTAATTGTAAACTTAATACAGAAGGAATTCGCAACAGCTCAATAACATTTATATCTACTACAATGTAAATATTTCAATGTTTTTTCCATGAATATACAATTTCCAATAATCCGACCGATCCGAATAAACGTTTGCAAATATTTGATGTCCTATAAAAAGCAATATCATGCATAAAATCGCGAAACCATGGATGAATTCCTCTGAAAAATACTGATTGTGAGAGTATTTAAAATATCCAATAAAATTTGTCTTAAATGTAGAAACAATTCCTTCCAAGTTCTAATTGTAAGAGAGTCTCAAAAACTGTCGCTGCTATAAAGAAATATAGTTAGCAATATCATAATTCTAAAGAAAAATTTAGATTCAAACTGTGCTGTAATATTCAAACATTAAACAACTAATTAATTTACTTTTGACAACTGACGAACATATAAGCTAATAGTTATTGTATTTCAAACTGAGATATACATTCCCAGTTGCAGAAACCGCTTATAGTTATCGAGCACCGCGCGCAAAATCGATTCACTTTGGCGGACATCTGAGAATCTGTTTGTCTTGCAGCCAACGGTCAACATCATGCTGAATCCCATGGAATACGATCATTCATTTACTTTGATATAAACTAGTACGCAAAAGGAAATAAAGTTAAGAGATATAAATGTGCGTAGAAAGGGAATGTGGTTGACGATTACTTTTTTATCAATAGTACACGCGAAACCGCAGAATTCTGTCTTCCTTTGGGAAACGGGGCCATCGTGCCGCATGTCTACCCTACATATATGTTCACGCAGCTCTATAAACGCGTACTCATATACAGAATACAGAGGCATCCAATACATATTCATATTCACTTCGCGCAGAAGGTCAAAGGTCATAAAGATCGTCTCTAAAGGATCACGGATCAAGGATAGAGACATCGAGCGTGCCCGACCTGGATGAATCGTGGAGCACACGGCGATTAACATAAATAAGAAATGAAGAAAAGGGAAGGAAAGAAGTGACAAATTACTGAATGCGTGTGCTGTTTACTTCACCTTCAATATTACAATGAGAGGACGGCAGATGTAATAAACAAAAAGCGTCGGGACATTTGAAATACACGCTTGACAGTTCAAAAATGCGTATTTTTCTTATTAATTAAATTCCCATTCTTTTGATAGATTATGCTACGTAATTATAAATCGCATTGCTTTACACTTGTTTATGGCGTTCTAATAATAATCAGCACTCGAACATTTGTAATTAATTCAATAGTCAATATTCGTTCGACATTATCGGATAAAATTAAACCCTCGTCAATTCAATATAGTTGTCTAAACTGATTAAAAATGTAAATCATAAACCATCAACTACACCTTACTTATTTGAACGATACGTAATGTAAAAATTGTACACCAGATATCGAAAGCGTGCATCTTAAAGCCGAGAATGCTATTAGGATAAACTAATTATAAAACAATAGATTTATAACTCACCATCTCTGCATGATCCTGTCGCGTAGACGCTTCAGAAGCGTCCTTTACGTTTCCGGCATCGCAGACCCGGCGTTGTTTCGTTTAGATTCAAGTTGTTGTCGCGGGACTGTAAACGAACTTAGAAATTAACTATCGTCACGGTGATCGTTGACAGTCGTGTCAGTCGCTTTTTTAAAACGATTAAATACTGCGACAGACGAACATGACGTTTCGGTACACGATAAACGCGACACACGAACCAATACGCACACGCATGAGGCGCGAGACCAACTGACTAGACCCTAGACCTACTGTTCTTGATCTCGGTTGTGGCTCCTGCGCTGGCGCCACCTGTTTTACACGGCTATCCCACTGATGCTATGTAATGTAGCACTTGCATCGTTTTAATGCGTGCGCACCACATTTAATAAGTCACCTTCCTCTTGTTGGTTTACAGTTGGTTTCCCTCATTGTCAGTTTCCCGTTGCTTCGTTTTCCTTTTTTTCGTGGCAGTGCTTTGAGATGATACTCTCCGTTTAAGAATTATTCATACGAACCTGCTTGTGCTTACACTCTAATTTTAAGCGCACAGTGTTGTATTTGAAATGAAAGTGGCATCGCAATTCTATCTACTAGAATCATACAATATCTTCAGATTGCCTGGTTTTCCTACCACTCTTTAAATGTACTATATCTAGCTAGAATGAATATACTATTTTGAAACGCTGAAAAAAATTGCGCTAATACTTAAGAAACAGTATTACATGTTCAGTTACTTTTAAATGTGTATATTGATTAACTAGCATATATTAGATATAGATAGCAATATTTCCCAAGCTTTTCTAAGATGCTATTATCACCGATTTAAGAGATCAACTATATTTATGTATTAAGAGCTTAATATTCTTATGACTTGAAGCGAGAGCATGCTTTGACATTTAAAAACGATCTGAATTACTATATTAATATTTAATACCAATATTTAATACGAATATATATTCTATATTAAATGGATAATACTATTAATAAATAGATAATTACATAATATGGTGAATTAAATATAACTGCAGTTTTTAACTATTTGTAATAAAAAATGTGCTAATAAAAAGTTTAATGGTATAATTCATACACATATGTGGATGATTAAAATTTCGAAATTATTTTATAATTTCCCGTAGCGCACGAATACTAAGATCACCTTCGATTCATTATACGGGTAGAATTCAAATGTTAGTAGCCACTATACATATTATCATAAATGGCTGATAAAAAGATGCATCTTTAGGTGGGACGCATGATAATCTAACTACTTATCAAATAATAATGAATTAAATCCACAAAACATGGATTTACATTATTAGAGAATGGTGCATTTTCTGGAAATTACAAATGAATAACAA